TAATCACAATAAATTTATGTATGAAAACCTGTCAAAGACTAGTTTTGATATTAAAGTCAGTTGTCATTTAAGAGAAAATTATTTCTCTTAAACAATCCTACCATGGAGCTAGATGAGTTAACACTTATTGTTTTTCCCATTTGCAGGATAGAATTTCTTTGTACTTAAATCTTGAAAAGCTTTGGCAAAGTCAAGACAAGCATTTGTTAGATTTAGGGATCCTATTTAAGTGAAGGAAAACATTGATCAGTATGAGGTTTGATACAATATTCCTTTGTGAGTATGTGTAAGTTCCTGTACTAAATCACAGTATTTCAAAGTGTGCATTGAAGAATGCAAGTGAAAAGAATGCATATATGTAGTTAGATTTTTTAAAGATTTGTTAATTTATTTGAAAGTCAGAGTTATGGAGAAGCAAAGAGAGAGAGAGAGAGAGAGATCTTGCACCCTTTAGTTAGAGCATTTAAAATGTGGAAATCCTGCAAAACAGTATCACTCAAGAACAAGATGAGGATTACATGATAAGCATGTATGGCATTAGTGAAAAATTAAAGTAATTGAATAGCTATACTGTAGTTTGAACATTTGTACCTTCCAAACTCCAAATGTTAGAATCCTGTCTGTGAAGGTGACCACATTAAAAGTGAGGTCTGAGACCCACACACTGGTGCAGTGGGCTAAGCATCTGCCTGCAACACTGTCATCCCATATGAGCTCCAGTTCAAATCCCAGCTGCTCTACTTCCAAATCAGCTCCCTGCTGAAGGGACTGGGAAAGCAGCAGAAGATGGCCCAAGTTCTTGGGCTCTGCCACCCACACACACAGGAGACCTAAATGGAGTCCTGGACTCCTGGCTTCAGTCTGGACCAGCTTGAGACAGTTGTGACCATTTGGAGAGTGAACCAGCAGATGGAAGATCACCCTATCTCTCTCTACTTCTCTCTCTCCTCTCTCTCTCCCTCTCTCTCTCTCTCTCTCTCTGCCTTTCAAAAAATTATTTTTGAAAAAATAAGGACTTTTGAGAGTGATTAGCTCATGTGGGCACAGCGCTTGTGATTGGGCTGGGTGCCTTGTAGAACAGGCCCCAGAGAGCTCAGCCAAACCTCTCACCCATGTGAGATGGTTGCTGTCCAGGAAGAAGCAGGCTCTCACCAGACAGGAACTCTGCTGGTGTCTTAACCTTGATCCCAGTCTTCAGCTGTGAGCAACTAGTTCATGCTGTCTGTAAACTACCCAGTCTATGGGATTTTGCTCTGGCAACCCCAATTGACTAGGACAGGCAGCTTCCCAATTTAGGAAGGTAGGATTCTGTGTATAACTCTATGTCTATAACTTTAAGAGCCCAATCTTCAGAAAATAAATTGAAAATATTTTACTGGATGAAAGCCCTGGCATTTTGGAGAAATACATATTTGGGTCACTAATAATAGAAAAATTGATGGTTGAAATCTACAATATTTCTTCTGATAAGTTCAGCACAGTAAAATTCAGCCCAGAGAATAAAAATAAAGCCTTTAGAATCTGAATATGATGTACAGGTGCAGAAGGATAAGAATAAATTTACATTTGATGAAACCAGGAACATATTCGGATACGATCCTGTCATTCTTCTCTTGTGACATTCAATGCTGACCACAGTGTTGTTACTAGTTCAGTTTTTGCCTCTTCTGTGTGTTCAGGAAGTTACTTTTCTAGCTTAATGTACCAATATTTTACATCTAACACCTGGCTCAATGTATATTTGTATTATAAAATAATTAGTTGACATGTATATCAAAGATTTTCCTCCTGTGGTTGATGGTTAGGTTTTGTACTTTATGCTAAACACTCTTTCATATGCATTATAATATAGACTTCTAAGGAAAAGAAAGAGCATGCAATTTTAATCTCCATGTTGTGTCTTGAAAACATTGTTACTTACCTAACAATACACAATTCTAAATGGCAAATCTCAGAATTCTAATCAGAGTTTTGCCTAACAATTCAATTCTTTCTGAGGAACCCTGAGGACTTACTTTTACTTAGGAATTTACATTCCACACACATTCATCTCCTTTTCATGTTATCTTGCAAAACTGCACCTAAATATTTGTGGAATAAATATAATTGGCATAATATCAACTGTTCAGTTCTTTGAAAACATAATTATTACTCAAGTGTTTTGCTGTTTGTTTGTTTTTTCCACCAAGGCCATGCTTAGATTATTCTAGGAATGTCTGGCAATGACATAATCTTCTCCTGTCCACACTGAGTTTGATTGTATGACTTTCTCTGGACAATGAAACTAAATTAGCAAATATGATCCAAGCAAAGACTTGAGAAACCTTGCATGTTGCAGCTTTCCCTCTCAGAGCTCCTGGAAATGCTTCTACAAACACCTGAAGATTGGGATTCCAGCCTATCCCAGTAGAAGATGGAAACACACGCAACAGAAATGCGTTGTTTTAGTGGAGGCCCAGCCAGCTCATAGTCAACCCACCAGCCAAGTGCAGATTCATGAGGAAGCCAGGTACTGCTGGCAATAAAACTGGCCAAGTAATTCCAGTCCAAATCTGACACACAAGACTGTGAGTGAATTACAGCTCTGTATCCATTAAGATCCAGCAATGTGTAGAGTGGTTTGTTATACAGCATTGGCTTAACATCATGGCATTGAAAAGGGACTTCAAAGAAGTGAATAAAGTTGTGTGTGCATGTATGTGACATATGTAGATATATCATATTTACATATCATTATTTTTCAATAGTGTTAAGTCATTTAGGAAAAAAAAAGAAAAAAATATCCAAATACCTTCAAAACCTCTCAAACTAGGCTTATAGAATTACTTTTCAAAAGGAATTACGCTCAGACAAAAGTGAAACCTCTGTTGAATGCCTAGATAGCTGGGGAAAGCCAAGATCCCCAGGTTAGTAAACACAGAGTTTCTACTTTGTTCTTCACTGAAGGCTCAGTATTACAGCCATCATTATGAACACTGGAAGCAAACTCCAATTTCTGACTTCCTTCATGTATTATATAAAACACAGTTAGCTTTCCTGCAGTTCACTGTCTCTCTATAATGACAGAAATTTGTGGTTCCCCCTGCCTATTGTCCTGTTCCCAGTTAAAAAAATAATTAAACAAGAGCAAAACACAGGATAGGCTTTAGTCTAGCAGTTATGATGTTGGTTGGTTGCATTTCAGGTTGGGTTCAGCTCAGCTCCTGGCTCCAGCTTCCTGCTAACATAGATCCTGGGATGCCACTGTGGTAGCCTTAGTCAACGACTTCCTTACTACTCACAAGGGAGACCTGGATTGGATTCTTGGCTCCCAGCTTCAGCCCCCAGCCGAGGATCATCATGTACACTTGGGGTATGAGCAAGCAATAGTTGTATCCCCTCTCTCTCTCACTCTCTGCTCTCAAATAAGTAAATAAACAATTTTTTAGAAATTAAAAAACAATAAAACAAATGCCCCCTCTCTTTCTCTCTGCCTCTCAAATAAGTATATAAATTTTTAAGTAAACAATTTTTTAGAAATGAAAACATAGTGAAACTATTGTCTGATGATGTAGATTTTGGAACAGGCTTTCTTGCATGCTATAAGCTGTACACTTATAGACTGGAACTTTGTGAAGTTCAAGGGAATGAAATGTTATGCTCCATAATTTAGGTACTAGTCATGATTAATAAAACACAAACTGACAATGTATAAAAACACATGAAAGTGTTCCTGTATGCATTTTCCCCACCCAGAAGTAACCTAACAGGGTTGAGATGTAAAATTAACAGAGGAAAGATGATTTAAGAAATTAGATGAACAGTTTGCTCACCTAAGGTATGCATTCATATGTCTGCACCCTGTTGATATTTCCTTGGTTCCAGTGGGATCCTGGAGGAGGTGTGTACAGTGAAAGAGGAAATGAGACTCCAGCCCTCGAAGTGCCAATAATAACTGCACTGTCCATAAAGATCTTTGCATTTGACTTTCAGGAATGTTTACCTAAGCTGAACAACTGGTAACTGTAAGTCGGCTAGATTCTCCCAGGGCAAGTCACAGCCCTTACAAAGAGTGTGCTGGGAACATCATAAGAGGAGACCATTTGTCATCCAAATAAAATTCAAGAAGTGGATCTAGGAAGTAATTAATACAAAATTAATGTAATAGTACTCTTTAGGTCTTACTATTTGAGATCCACAAATTTTTAATAATTCCAAAGTGTTCTCTGAGTTAGTAGCAGAATTTTGCATTACCAAGACCAGCACAATTTCAAAAATATTTGGAGTAATGGGACAAAAATATTCCTGAGTGGTCTACGTGCCCTTGTATTCCATCATTTCCTTTACGTTGCACCATTTGATGATTTCTGAACCTGAAACATTAATGCGGGTCATGGCCATGCAAGCATTCAAGGGCCAGTGCATGAACTCGCAACGACTTCTCACCTTCCGCGGTTCCCAATGACATCGTATGTGGAGATGCCAGAGAGCCACCATGCTGGGAGTGTTTATTTGGAAGCCTGGACTTAGGAGACTCAGTATGGAGAGTGAGCAAATGAGCATTTTTGTATCATGCCATTGAGGCTCAGAAGCTAATGTGTTACCGCAATATAACATACCCTATTCTGACCAATACAGGAAACTACTCAGGGGTTGTCAACTTTCTAACATGCCAAATAGGAGATTTTGAAAGGATACAAAATTCCTCACCACATTCCATCATTATGTCAAATAAATATTTTCACACACACCTCCCCACCACCAACAAATACAGAAAGAACAGTTATTGCAGAACACAGAATTCTTCTTTAAACTCAATAAATGTAGGTTTTTTTCCCCCATAAAATCACTCACTGATTTTTAATTTTTTCATTTTGCTGGGTAAAAATACTTAATCATTAAATAACACACTTTTCTTCCTTTTGATAATTAAGAACAATGATTCCAGATATTTAAAAATGGTACAAGAGGGTTATTGAACCAAAGCAATGAAAACAATCCCTGGCAATGCCCAGCTTTACCTGTCTTTTGGTGAGATCCAGATTCTCTGCTATCTTGTATCTCCTCAGTCTAGTCACATAGTTGTGATGGGCAAATTCTGCTTCTAGTCCTCAGATTTGCTCTTGGTAAATGCTGTCCTTTCCTTCCTGGGTTTGCTGTTGACTTCAGACTTGTAATTTCCTTCTTGGGATCTGAAAAAAATTAGTACCAACTCATTCATTCAAATATATGTAATCATGTGATTTACTGTATTCATCATGGCTGAGTTACTGCTTTCCCAAGTGCTGTGCTAGTCTTGGGACAAATGGAGAGCAGAAGCAGTAAAATACTCTCACCTCCATCATGCGCAACACATCCTTGGTTTTTCAATCTGCCTTCAAACAACTGATGACCTAATTGGAGATGTGTCAAATTTTCTCCTTACAAAACATGAACTGTATATAACCACTCATCATATGATATTATAATAAGATGGACAAAATCCTCTCTAGAAGACAATTTTAGATATGAAATTTAGTAAGTTCTTAACACACAGGCTTGAGGTGTAAGTATGAACAGAATGATTCTCCATTTTTTAAGCATTATTTATTTATTTGAAAGGCAGAGCAAGTGATAAAGTGAGAAGGAGAAACAGAGAGAGAGAGAGATCCTCCACCCACTGGTTCTGTCGCTCCCCATCTTCGTGGAGGAATGACACAGGACCCTGCACTGTTCTTTTGTCTGCTCGGCCCTCCCCGGGTTTGCTGCTGGTTCTTCCCGGGTTGGCTACCGACCCTTCCACCTCCGTGGAAGGGCGGTTCCCCCTGCCACATTCCCCACTTCCGCGGGGGAGCGGCACACCGCCGGCCGGCTCTCTCGGGGGCTGCACAGGTGTTCCCTCAGATGTTCCCCTTAGATGTTCCTGGTGCATGTTGTCTCTCTCCTCCTTTATAGTCCTCTTCCGCCAATCCCAACTCGGCTGCCCACACGCCGAGTACGCTGCTCTCCTCCAATCAGGAGCAGGTCCTACAGTTTATTGGTTGAACTGGAGGCAGCTGTGTAGAAGCTGTTTCTCCCTTCTCAGCGCCATATTGTGGGAGAGCAGATGTATAGAATAAGTCTTAATTCCAGTAACTTAGTCTAGTCCGGGTTGCTCCCCACAGGTTCATTCTCCAAATGACCACAAAGGTCTTGGGCTGGGTCAACCAAAGCCAAGAGCCAGGAACTCCATCTGCATTCTTCTGCTGCTTTCCCAATAGAATTCGCAGGGAGCTTGTTGGGAAGCAGAAGAGCCAAGAACTTGGGTCTCTGCTGCCATGTGGGAGACCCAGATGGAGATCGGGCTTGTTGATTCAGCCTGGCTCAGCCCTGGCCATTGTGGCCATTCAAGGATTGAACCTGTGGATGGAAGATCCTTTTTCTAGTTTCTCTCCCTCTCTATATAGCTCTGCCTTTCAAATAAATAAATAAATCTTTGAAATTAAAAACAGAAGAATTAGAAAATACCTCTATTTAATTATGATACTAAGTATTGCTATGATAACTAAGACACACAAGCAGACTCTTGGTTACCCAAGAAGCCACATTCATCTGATGTTAAGAGCACAACCTCTGCTGCTCACCTGCTTATTCAACCCTACTTCCTTCATTTCCTGACCTTTAACCCAGAATTCATGTGAAGATGGTTAACTTAAGTAAATAATTTAGATAAATGCCCGCATATTGTAGGGATTCAATGATTAATTGTAAACTCGAACCTTTAAGAGAGGACTGTAGCCTAAGGCCTTAGTATCTGAAAATAATACATTTAATACAGTGAAGAATTAGAAAACTTTTAAAAAAACAGGAAAAGTTTGTTCTTAAAATGGAGCTCAGTCTAAAATGTAAGAAGTTTAGAATTCACACAATGGGGCCGGCGCCGCGGCTCACTAGGCTAATCCTCCACCTTGCGGCACCAGTCCTTGGGCCCTGCACCCCATGGGAGACCAGGATAAGTACCTCGCTCCTGCCATCGGATCAGCGTGGTGCACTGGCCGCAGCACGCCAGCCGTGGCGGCCATTGGAGGGTGAACCAATGGCAAAAGGAAGACCTTTCTCTCTGTCTCTCTCTCTCACTGTCCACTCTGCCTGTCCAAAAAAAAAAAAAAAAAAAGGAATTCACACAATGGATAAGTGTGTTCTAATTCACAGTGAAAAATAGCTGAGCTCCTACAAGGAGCTGTGTGTTATTTTCTGCCAGCCCACAATGAAACAGAAGGTGTAGCTATGATTTCCAAGGCCCAGTGGCATCCAGAGATGAATTTTTTCCCTCTGAAAGGTTTTTTTGGAAAGTTTGATGAAATATAACTAATCCTAGTCTGCCCAATTAACTAGAATCAGATAGTATAATTGTGTGTGAGTAAGTATGGGCGAGTGTGTATGGGTGAGTGTGTGTATGAGTGAGTGTGTATGTGTGACTGTGAGAGTATGCGTGTGATATGTGTGTGACTGTGTAAGTATAGGTGAGCATGTATATGAGTGTGTGCATGAGGGTGTGTGTGTGTGTAAGTGTGTAAGCATGGGTGACTGTGTATATGAGTGTGTATGAGTGTGAGAGTATGTGTGTCAGGATGTGTGTGTGTGTTTCTTCTCTTTTAAGGAGTCCCAGTAAACAGATACATGGATTTACTAAGAAGAATCACACCATGCCTAAATGTTAGAACATACAAAATACTATAACTTGTACTCTTAAATGATTTTAATCAAGACAAAATTTACTAAAAACATTCCTTAGCCCATTCTTTAAAATATTATGCCTTTATTATTTACTAGGAAGTATAATTTTCTTCATTTGGAGGGTTTGAGAAGCAAATAGCTCAGGTATTCCTTTTTTATTTCTGGATGATTAAAAGTCAATAATCTACCTATTTATTTCACTTGCCTTCACAGTATAAACTGTAAATTATAAAAATAAACAATACATAAAAGTAATGATATAAAAATAATCTTAAAATCTGAGACAACCAGAGTTTCCAGCTCATGTATTATACAGCAGTTTGCTTGCATCTGCTGCTGGAAAGAAATGCCTTGTGATCATTCCCTATTGCAGTCGCACTGGCAAGAAAGATCATAGTCTTTGGGTGAATCTTCTGCAACACATTTCTGATTGCTTTTCTAAAAGGACTTCCCTAATATGAGAAGTCAAAAATCATAGAAGTTCCATTTGTAGGACACTGCTTAGATACCCTTCACAGATAGAATTCTGTTCACATTGACTTTCCAAAAAAAGTAAAATCAGCCAAAGAGAAAATCAGTGCTCTGCAATAAAGTCAACTTGTTGTACAACATAATGATTTCCTCAAATAACAGGGAAGCTCTGATGTAAACATGTTTGAGCAAAATAACATGCAAATGACAAAGAAAGGCTTCCTCTTCCCGAACTGTGTAAATCATATCTCCATTGTCTTCTTCATCATTCTTACTATTACTTTATATAGGGAGAGGCTGTGTGCAGGAGGGAGGAGAGAGAGAGAGAAGAAAACATTAAGTGACATTTACTTAGAAAACATACTGAGGCCAGCGCTGTGGCTCACTAGGCTAATCCTCTGCCTGCGGTGCTGGCACCCTGGGTTCTAGTCCCAGTTGGGGTGCCTGATTCTGTCCTGGTTGCTCCTCTTCCAGTCCAGCTCTCTGCTGTGGCCCGGGAGTGCAGTGGAGGATGGCCCAAGTCCTTGGGCCCTGTACCCACATGGGAGACTAGGAGGAAGTACCTGGCTCCTGGCTTTAGATAGGTGCAGCGTGCCGGCCGGAGTGGCCATCTAGGGGGTGAACCAATGGAAAGAAGACCTTTCTCTTTCTCTTTCTCTTTATTTCTCTCTCTCTCTTTGTCTAACTCTGCCTATCAAAAAAACATGATACTGAATGTGAGATCCTATGAGAGGAATGAAATGATCATCAAAAAAATTTCTGAGTGTAAAATGTGAAGAATTGCTGGCCTAGCCTGTGCAGAGTACACAAGCAAAGAAGGTTGGTAACAAGACTGGTGAAGGCAGAATGGATACAGTAGCAATGATTATGAATAACAGCAGAAGAGGCTTGCATGTGGTGCATAAATGCCTTTCTAGAAGAGGAAGAAGAAGGTGAGGTCAGAGGCGCTGATCCTAGTGCATTTCTTGAACAAAGGAGGCTATGAAAGGCAGTGAGTGTAGGATTGGCTTATGTGCGTGGAGAAGGGGGAATGGGGAATTGACTATCTTGCTGAAATAGGAAACTCAAAAATAAAGTATCTTTTAAATACCATTTGATACTATTGTCCCTTTTAGAAATGTGTACACATAGCGTATACCCTATGGTGAAAGTGTGATATGTGACGTATGTGACATGTGACAATCATGAGTAGTTTGCTGTGCAATGTACTATGAAATACACAGATTAATATGATATACTACCTATCTAGAAGTATACCTTACAATCAAGTTTTGGATAGAAGTGACTTAAAATTAACCATAAATAATTATAAATAGTAGTCCTTGGGGTACTATCAAGCTATCATGCGTTAAGGGTTAATACTTTGGGATACATAACCTTTTTCTTTGCTAAATCAATTTATGGGAAATAGCAATGATAATACCATGAAGTGGGTATTTTGTTAAGCAGTTAAGAAGCTGCTTGGGACACCCACATTGCATATTGGAGGGCTTGAGTTCAAGACCTGGCGCTGCCTCCAATTTCAGCTTCTTCTGACTCCTATGCTGGGAGGCAGCCCCATGTGCTTGGGGCCCTGTCTCCTACATGGGAGATGGAGTTTAAATTCCTAGCTTGAGGCTTTGGTTTGATCCAGCCATGGCTACTGTAAGCATTTGTAAGTGTATCAACAAATGGTAAGTCTCTCTCTTTCTCTTTACCTTTCAAATAAACAAATAAATAAAAATTTTAAACAGGAATTTTAATTCTGTTATTATGTATGCATTTCAGAGACTAACCTGAATATTATGTTAAACAAATTTTCCTAGGAAAGTAGCTTTAACTAAAATCTGATATATTTTTTAAAAGCCAAATTTTAGATTAGATACAAAAAAAATTTCTACACCTACTTCTAATTTCTCCCAAATGGCATATGAGTAAGTTTATGTGAATGTAAGTAAGCTTATGTGAATCTGAAGATTTCACCTTGCAGATAATCCAAGGGTACTAATTGTGTATTGGATCAAGGCACTCCATCCAAACCCATACT